CTAATTATTGTTTCACTTTTGGTTTATAAAAACTGTATTGTTATTTTGTAAAACTGGTTTTATAAAATTGAATAGATGTGCGATTGCTTCTGGTGCATTGAAAGATGGTTGATATACTATAATCACAAACTCTTAATATTTGCATGATATAGAAACTAATGTTGCATTTTTTGGATTGAATGTTAAGAGAAGATTTGTTATTCCTGACTCATTGTATTTTTAGTGTCTATTTTTGGGTTATAATCAGTCAAAATAAGATTCAAAGATTGGTCAAAGAAGGTTTATAACCTAGTGAGGCAGAGAAGCCTAAACTCACTTGTGAATCCTATTTTGAAAGATAGATAACCCTAAGGGTTTTAAATCAGCCAAATGAAATAGATATAAAGAACAATTGGAGTCCGTACACACTGACACATGTGGTCTTATGAACATCCATGCAAGATTACTCATGTTTTGGATAAATTTACCTGTTGCGACACAAGTCTTAAACTTTTGGTATATTTCGAGAGTGTCAAGACTGATGTGGAACACAGATTAGGTAAACTTATCAAAACACTTCGATCTGATCGTGGACATGAGTATTTCTTAGGATAGTGCAAAGACTATATGGTCAATAAGGGTGTTGTGTACCAATTTTTTCCGCAATTGACGCTAAATGAATTGAGGTGTCAAATAGGAATAACAACATTCTGCTTAACATGGTTAGATCTATGATTTGATATGTTTTATTATCTCTTTCATTCAAGAGTTTAGCATTAATGATATCGATGTGCATTATAAATTGCATTCCATCTTAGTCTATCTCAAGGATACCGTTTGAGCTGTGTTTTTGACTAAATCTTAGTTTGAATCACATGCACATATGGGGTAGTCTTGCACATGTGCACTTGAGATGGATAAGTAAGTTGGAAACAGATCATACGCATGATAAATTTGATAACTACTCTAAAGTCACTAGGATGGATTATTTTATGATCTCAATGATAAAAGTTGATTGTTTAAACTCACTGTTTATCTATAGAAGGATCATATTATAAATCACATACCCGGTAGCATAATGTTATGGTTTTAGTACCATTTATACCACAAGATGAACACACTTATTATAGAGATTTAAAATTATAGATGAATTCCTTATTGATGCGTCAGCATCATCTTGTACACAGATTCCTGCATCGATACATTGATGTAGTGGGAGGATTATCATCCAATCCAACAGAATCATGTTTTTAGGTGATACTTTTATGGACATCCCTGTCAAACATGAGTTGGACCCAGTAAGCTATACGGAAGTGTGAACCGATATGGATACAGGTCGTTTTGGCGACTTGCTTTGAAATCAGAGTTAAAAGTTATGTATTCTAATAAATTCTGGGATCTTGTAGAACTTTCTAATAGGGTGATACCTATGGAAGGCAAGTTAATCTACAAAAGGATACTAGAAGATTTCTTAGTGATTAAATCATGAGTGTATAAGGGAATGCCATTATTTTTCTAATTCTTTATATATTGATGACATCCTACTCATTTAGAATGACATGGAAGCTTTGTTATCATTTAAGAGGTAGTTGTTCAATTATTTTGAAATGAAGGATTTTCAAGGTGTAAGGTATATTCTTAGGATCAAGCTTTTGCGAGATCATGTTAAAAGGAAAATAGGCTTCACTTAATAATCTTACATTGATAAAGTTTTGACCAGGTTTAGTATGCAAAACTCAAGGAATGAGTTCTTGCGTTATTGACATGGATTGTTTTCTCTAGTAAATAGTTTTCTAAGACTAGCAGAGGAGATTGAGCAAATGAGACTAGAACTATATGCTTTGGCATATGGGAGTCTCATATATGTCATGGTTTATACAAAATAGGACATCCGCCACATGGTAGGGATAATCAGTAGATATCAGTCCAAAATCGGACTTGATAACTGGTCTGTTGTGAAAAATATCATAAAGTACCTTAGGAGAACCAATGATCTCATACTCATTTATGGATGTGATGATGTGGTTCCAGTCAGGTACGATAGTTCTATTTTCAAATCAGAAATAGATACTATGAGGTTCATGACTTAGTGTATGTTCACTCAATGAATGGAAAATCAGTTAGTAGATTGTTAAGCATATTTCAAATGCTAACTCAAACCTGAAGGTGGAGTACATTGCAGCCTTAAAGGCAGCAAATGAAGCCTTTTGGTTTGATCTCACTGATTTAGAGGTTGTGGAGCATACTAGCCTATTATCGAGCTATATTGCGACTATAGTGCAGAAGTAGTCTAAACCAATGACCCAAGGTTCCATAGAGGAACAAGGTACACTGAGAGGAAAGTTTCATGTCCTACATGATATTGTTCGGTAAGAAAATGTACTCATGGCTAGAACATTGCATTAGAACATAACTTTATTGATCAATTAACAAAGGTGTCATAGATCAATAGTTTTGATCGTCACCTGGATAACATTGGAGTTAGATGCAATTTGAATTGGCTATGAGGACAAGTGGGATCTGTTGGGATTTATATGCCCTAGCATAGCAAATTCCTATTTGGATTATAGTGACATATGTTCCTGACGTTTCTGAAATATTTATGCTTGATACAATTGGTGAATTCAATGTATTATATTTCGATTCATTATAGAATTGATAGTGTCCACTTAATTACAAGAGATATTTATATATGTATGTGATGGCGATTAATACATGAATATAAATAGTAATCATAAATTGTTCATAGTCGGTAATTATAGATGGACTCATAATTAATTAAGATTTAAGCTGAATCCGCGTTAGGTTGAGATATATTGCGAGAGCCGTCATATGCAATTGCTTTCTATTACTGTCATGACATTTGATTCTTAAGTATGAGAAAAGTATAAACTCTTTTATTAATTAATAATTACTTTGATTTGTTCGGCGGATACTTCGGGATCCTTAGACCGACACTTTGGGTACTTATGTAATTAATAGTTAGAGGGTTATATTTTCAATATTTGCATCATTGTTACTTGTATTTATTTTGTATTGATTATGTTTGATCATAAAGTAAATTCGAAGGCCTTTGAATATTTTTAGACAAAATGATTTATTATATATTTATTTATTTAAATTATTATTTTTGTCAAACAAATGTTTTATTGTGATCGAGTCAGAAATAATCAATGGTACCAAAATAAATATATTAATTAAGTAGTCAAATTGATGGCTTTATTTATCCGATAACTAATTATGCATAGAGGGGTCAAAGTGCAACATTGACTTAGAGGTTATTTATTATTTAATTGGAGTTCAATTAATTTCTTTTAGTGGAGTAGAAATTAATTAATGAATTAATTGAATTGGGTCCATGGACCGGGCCAATTATTAATTCATTATAGCCAATAAAATAATAAGCCCAAAGGATTCTCACTCATAGCCCAACTTGATATTGAAATCCTATTAAATTTGAGACATGTGAATTAGAGATTGAGAAGGATTTGTTGTTTCTTTTTCTTTATCTTTATATTGCCTATAAATATACATGGTCTATGTATATTTTAGGGGTAATTTTTGGAAGAAGGAAAAATGAATATATTTTCTCTCTCTAGAAAATTAAGGTTAATATTCTCATCTAATGGAGGCTCCCATAAGCCTAATTTTCCAAGGTCATTCTTGGAGGCTTATAAGTGATTCCTAGAGGCAAAACAATTATCAAGAAGATGGAATTCCAAGGAGAAGGCATCTTACTAAGGGATGTACAATAAGTGAGAACATTCACTTTAGAAGAAAATTTTAAAGGTTTACTCAGACCTTTGATATAAGTATTTAATCTGTTAATTGAATAACATATCATATTTTATTTTTGCATAAAACTTGTCTCTATGTGATGAATCAAAATCTGTGAATGAAAATCCCTCAAAAAGTTTTTAAAACTAGCACGTTTCCCAACAGCAACACCATCCCCATTTTAATGCCCCAAATTATAGAACCCAAATCATTCAAAACACTAGAAAATACAATCACAACTCCCCTCAATATCATCCTATTATTCCTTCTCCTCCTCTTGTCCAGCTGCCGTTGTCTTCCTTGCCGCCTCAATCTCAATCCCAATCCATAACTAACTCTATCGAAAAAGACCTAAATTAGTTCAAAGTCTATGCTTGGTAATAAACGCGTCTATATTCTTTTACAATTCTTCAACCATCTTTTCTTTTCCTCGTAGACTATTTTCTTCCAAACACCCAAAACTCTTTCCTTTTAACCCTGTTTAAATACAACTAAAAACCCAGAAAAGATACGAAGCAAAAATCTGATCTTCATATATATATATATGATCATCATAGTTTAGAATTACTAGTTTCCAGAGAAAAAGACGTTAGATTTGATTTTTGATTGTTTGACCTGGGTCATTTTCTTTCAGTTCAGTTAAGAGAAAAAAGATGATGAGTACTAAGCTTGGAGCTTTGGTTTGTGTTTGGTTTGTTTTATTGTGGGTAGATTTGTGGTGGAGAAGAACAGCTTGAAGGTTACTTCACCTGACTGGTTGAAAGATGCTTATGGATGTGCAAATGAAAATGGGTTTGTTGCAGCGGCAGAGATTAGGTATTGAGGGAGAGAAGATAGTGAAAAGGAAAAATCAGTTTAACCCGCAAAAATGGGCATTATCCATATTCATATTATTTTTGTTGTGAACAAATATCAAATTATTAGAAAGCCACATTAGCGCGGAGGATAAACCTCATCCTCCGTCCGCATGATGCAAGCATTGTTCAAAAATTATAACTGAAAAATGAGAGTGGACTTGTGTGATGATTATGTTTGAAAGAAATTTTAGAGTGAAAAATGGTCGAGGTGGTCAGCTTTAACTTTTGTCGGTTCTTGAGCTCCCTGTGATTTAGAAAACTAGTCGAATAATTGTGGACCATGTTTTGTCGAAACGCCCTTAACATTTTGTCCAGCCAAACATCCTAATAGTAGTACCAGTAATGCTTTTCCTCATGTCCACATTAGCTGGGAGATAGACATTGACTCTCTCAGTGTCTCTCTCTCATACATCGACAACATTTCAATCTTCTCAATTACTGCTTTGTAAATGATGTTTCCATCAAGATTGCAAATGAGTGTAGAGTCACCTTTTTTCCTCGATGGATGGATGAAAAGTAGGGTTTGCTGTTGACTTTGTGACAGTGACCAAATACCAACTCGCATTTCATAATATTTTGATGGGGTAAGACAAAATTATATGGAGGCCAAGAAATGAATTCAAAACCCTAGCTCGACATACCATACTAGAAATTCAGGAGAACCATTTAGCAATATATATATATATATATATATATATATATATATCTTCACATGGCGAGTACTTGGAGTGGAGGAGAAAGTTATCTGGGATCATGGGTCATCGCTGGAACAGAAGTTACAGAACTCTCAACTGACAGCAACAGGTAATCTCATACTTTACCCATTACTTAATTTCTTTTCTTCATAGAATTCAAGGACCTTCCAATTTTCTCAATATTTTTGTTTTATTTATTTATTTATTATTATTTTTTATAAAAATGTTGACTGTTGTGTTCTGGTTATTTATTTAATTTTTTTTTTAAATGCATTGTGACTGCCCCAACTAACCTTTTTGTATGATCATAGAAATCAATTGAGTGTAACTTGCATTTATATTGGCTCATAAATATTGATTTTTAATGAATTTTGACATTGATTTTCCAGGAAGCTAGTTTGATGCATGGAAATAAGAACAGGAGTACTAAATCCCAGTGATAAGCTAACTGAAGTTGCAAAACTTGTAAGTTATTTTATGTTGTGGGTTGTGAAAGTTCCCTGTCATAATTTGATGGGTATGACAAAAGCCCAAATTCGCACGAACACAAGCATACCTCTGAGCTTGACAATTTTTTGCTATTCATGTTTATACATTCTACAAGATTGCTATTCATATTTATTTCTTTTAGTTTTATACTAATATTTTCTTGGAGATGTTTAAAGCTACCACATATCTGCACTTACCAACATCTGGATGATATATTTTCTTATTAGAATTTTTTACCTTATTGCTTATATGCCCAATAACCCATAGCAACTCTTTGCCTATTTAGTTTGGTTCTCTATGAACAATTTCCAAAAGCTCCAAAAAGATAGCTAGAAAGAAAATATTTTATGAAATCAAGTCATTTTCTTCAACCCAAAGTTTTCAAAATATTTTTTTTCCCTAGTTAAAGTTTTCAAAATATTACCAAGCAAATGAAATTTAATTTATTTTTCCCCCCTTTTTCTCTAGCAATCAACACAAAACTATATTCAGAAAGTAGAATCAATCAGTGTATATTGCTTAACAATAACAGGGGCAAAAGAAAAACAAATACAAAAGATAAAAGATTTTAACAGGATCGAGGGGGAAAATACACGCACACACCCAAAATTCAATATTTTGCCGTCTTTTTTGAGCTTTAGAAACAATGCGCTGACAGTCTTCATTGCTCTTCTAATTGCAGCAAAGCACAAGGATGGAAAGAATAGATACAGCAAATCATGGGCTTGAGATTGAACAGTCTACTTCAATTGATAGTCAGGATCCTGATGTCCCATTGGCAAATTCCATTACAGAAATGATAGATAACCTTTCTCCTCTATCACCTAATTGTTGTATCTATAGAGTTCCCAAGAAATATCGCAACATAAATGAAAAGGCGTACACACCGCAGATAGTTTCTATTGGCCCCCTTCATCATGGCAAAGAGAACTTGCAGGCCATGGAAGAGCATAAATTGAGATATTTGCAGGTCTTCCTTAACCGTACCAGAATGGGTATGAAGGGCTGTATAAGAGTGATAAGGGAGTGGGAAGAAAGAGCTCGCAAATGTTATGCAGAAAGCATTATGCTTAGCAGTGATGAATTTGTGAAAATGATTCTTCTGGACAGCAGTTTCATCATTGAGGCCATCTGGAGGTACAATTTCTTTATGCTGAAAGACCAAACCGATTACTTAAATAGGCCGCATATGATAGTTGCTGTCCGGCTAGACATGATCTTACTTGAAAATCAGCTTCCCTTCTTTGTTCTTGAGGATCTTTTCAACATAACCTTCAACTCTTACCCAAACACCCAACTTTCCTTCCTTATGCTTTCTATCAACTACTTCAAAAGTTTAATGCTGATCAAAGATACCCACAAGGTGATCTCAAGTTGCGAAGTAAATCATTTTCTTGATTTGCTAAGGAGTTGTCACTTACCATCATCTCTAAGGTCATTGCCTGCAGGTAGTGTCAAATTTGTGGCAGTATGTAACACAACAGAGCTCAAGGAGGTGGGAATGAAATTTAAGAGGGGCTCAAGTAATCACTTACTTGACATACAATGTACAATGGACGTGTTGGAAATACCGCACCTGTGCATACATGATGGGACAGAACCTCTGCTTAGAAACTTAATTGCATTTGAGCAATGTCATTATACACTCAATAGTTACATAATGGATTATGTTTCCTTCATGGATTGCCTTATTGACACTGCTAAAGACGTGGATATACTTATTCAGAATGGAATTACTGAGAATCAACTAAGCTATAGCTCTTCAGTATCGTGTCTCTTTAACGGTCTCACGACGGAAATGATATGGCAGGCTCAGAACTACTATTTTTATGGTATATGTGAAGACCTGAATGCATATTGCAGGGTTCCGTGGCACAGATGGAAGGTAACCTTGAAACGTGATTACTTCAGCACTCCATGGAGAATCATTTCGACCATCGCTGCAGTTATACTACTCTGTCTTACTCTTATACAAGCCATGTGTTCTATTGCCTCACTGTAAGTTCAAGAGTTGTGTACTTCCATTATGCATTGTGTTACTGATTTTCCCATTATTATTATTGGCTTTCTATGGTTGTATTAGCTAAATTCTGATCCAGGATATCAGATTTTCTTCTGCTCTCTAAATGTTCTGTTTCAACTTTCAAGCATTAGATAAAGATTGTTTCTCATTCAAAATTGCAACAGTTTTTCTAACTATATTTATTCTCAATAATTATGGAATTTGTTACCTCAAATTACTAGTAGAATTTGTGTTGCAAACATGAAGCTCTACTGGAAATTATTTTTTCCCAATCCCATACCTTTTCCAAGGAAATTGTATTTTGTTACCATAATGCCCTTCCTAATTTCAACAGATGATAAAAGTGAAACTGGACTTCTTTTGAGCTCCTGGTTCCCTCGGTTCATAATGGCATCTTAGGGCTTTATCATGAAGAAGCAAAGAACCAACTTACTCAATTTAGTATAACGTACAAATATCCAATTCTTAGAATAAGGTTTAAGAATAAAGGAGCTCTTTGTAAAACCAATTTACTCACTTTAGTACTCAAGTACAAATATACAATTCTTAGAATTAGGTTTAAGAATAAAGGAGCTCTTTTACAACTATACATGATCCAATACATAGAGGGTATGGCATGGGGAGAAGTACTTAAAAAGTTAAAAGTGAAATCAATGTGATTAAAATAATGTGGTGAACTAGGGGAAGTGAGAGTTTTCAAATGCAGGTGTTTCCAGATAGTTTATAGCCATTGAGCCTCATGGTCTTTCGACATCTACGGGCTGCCTCTTGGGCTTGCGCCTGGATCCTCTGCTTTAGCGAGTTCCTACCGTAGCATGCTGTAAACAAGTCTCCAAAGCACTTAAATTCTGCTTCAACACATTTGTTCTATATTTCAACACATTTGTACTAGATTTCAATAGACCTTCTATCTGTTGAAATATAGAATAACTGTGTTGAAACACGTTTTAAGTTTTAACTGTGTTAAAATCTCTTTTCAACATCATTATTTGTAGTTTCAAAATCATTACTTCGTGTTTCAACACATCAGTTCTGTGTTAAAATTTAGAACAAATGTGTTATAAACATGATTTAGGTGTGTTGAAAATCTCTATAGCACGCTACAACAGTTTCTTTTGAGCTCCAGTTTCCATAGGTGCATAATGGTATCTGTGTGTGTGTTGGGGGGTGGGGTGGGGTGGGAGGGGGTTGTGAAGGAGCTCTTCTTACAACTATATATGATTCAATACACATGTTGAGAAGTACTTAAAACTGAAATCAATGAGATTATAGTAATGTGGTGAAGCTGACGTGGGATATATTGAAGGATTGGGAAATTTGGTAAGTTTTAATTATAGCCATCTCTTCTTAATATTTGTTTTCTTCTTTCTTTTTTCTTAAATATTTTCCACGTATAATTTACTAAGGAAAATGTCTTTCTCTATAACCTAAGAAGCACGGACACTCCAAAATGGGCGAAGAATCCGTGTCCGACACGTGTCGGACACGGACACGCGTCGGACACGCCCCGACACGTGTTGGACACGCCAAAAAACGTGTCTGGAATTTTTTTATTTTTTTTTATTTTCGGACACGGCTCGGACACGGCTTGGACACGGCTCAGACACGGCTCGGACAGCTCGGACACGGCTCGGACAGCTCGGACACGGCTCGGACACGGCTCAAACACGGCTCGGACACACTAGTCTGGATTTTTTTTTTTTTTTTTTAAATTTTTAATGCTGATATGTTATTTTTTTTATTTTTTATTTTTAAATTTTTAATGCTGATATGTTCTATTTTTTGTTTTGTACTACCCTAAAGATGGTGATATATATATATACTAACCTAAAGATGCCACAATTCGCCGTGTCCGTATCCTAAAGATGCTGATATATATATATACCAACATATCAGTGATATATATATATATATATTCCAACCGAAACATATCAGTGTTTTTTTTTTAAAATTATTAATGCTGATATATATATATATATATATATATACACACACACTATTCGCCGTGTCCGTGTCCTAATTTTTTTGGATTTGCCGTGTCGCTGTGTCCGTGTCGTGTCGTATCCGTGTCCCGTATCCGTGTCCGTGCTTCTTAGTCTATAACCTTCTTTTACCATAAGAAGCACAACTTGGTTTTGAGAGTTCTTGCTCTCTTGAGACCATAATCAGTTAATGCAATAAATTTAATCTTCAATTTGATTAAAAAACAAAAGAGTGGTTTAGTTAAAATTAAATGAATTTTTGACTAATGCGGTTTGGAAAAATGTATTGTCAATGAATCATTTGTTCATGCAGACAAAATTAATTATATGTGGTTCTTGTATTATCATGAATTGGGTGGTAATTTGTGACTACTGTGAGAATGAATAGTTATACCATAATTGGAAAAACATAAATTCAAGATTGTTGTCTTTCTCTTTTTCATCTACCATCAAATGAAACATAGCTAACAATGTGCTTACTGTGTCTTCATTGCGATTCCAATTCTCACTAGGAAAACGAAGTGATGGAAAGAGTGGACACAACAAACCATGGAATTGAGGAAGACGAGCATTCTTCAAATGTTAGCCATGATCCTAACAACCCATTGGCTACTTCCATCGATGATCTGCCTCATCTATCATCAGATTGTTGTATCTATCGAGTTCCTAAGAAGCTAAATAGAACAAATGAAAATGCTTACACACCTCAAATGGTTTCTATTGGTCCTCTTCAACGTGGCCTGGAGAATTTACAAGTCATGGAAGAACATGAATTGAGATACTTGAAGGCATTCCTTGATCGTACTAGGCTGAGTATGGAAAGCTGTATAGAAGCAATAAAGGAGTGGGAAGAGAGAGCTCGCAACTATTATGCAGAAAGCATTAAGCTTAGCAGTGATGAATTTGTTAAAATGGTTCTTTTGGATAGCAGTTTCATCATATTGAGGTCATTTGGAGGTACTAATTCTCTATGTATAAACAAACTGATTACTTAAATAAGCTAATTTTGATAAATGACATTCAAGCAGACATGATCTTACTTGAAAATCAACTTCCTTTCTTTGTTCTCGAGGATCTGTTCAACCATGCTTTCCCTCTCAACCAGAGACCCTCTTCCTTTCTTGAGCTTTCTATCAAATTCTTTGATGAATTATTCCTTGTTGAATACTCTGAAGTGACTGAAAAGTTAATCAAGTTCCGGAATAAAGCATTTTGTTGATTTGCTAAGGTTATGTCACTTACCATCATCATCATCATCATCATCTGTTCTAAGGTCGCAAGGCAATTTCGTGGCAACACGGAATGTAACAGAGCTCCACGAGGCAGGTATGACGTTTAAGAAAGGCTCAAGCAATCGCTTACTCGATATAAACTATACAATGGAAGTGTTGGAAATCCCACATTTTATTATAGAAGGTCGCACAGAATCTCTACTTAGAAACCTGTCATTATCCTTTGGATGGTTCCATAATTGATTATGTTTTTTTTCATGGTTAACCTTATTGACACTAGTGGCAGGTCTCTTTAATAATCTTACCACACAACTGATTGTCATTGATGAAAACTACTATCTTTGTGGTATATGTAAAGAGTTGAATGCATACAGCAAGGTTCCTTGGCACAGATGGAAGGCGGCATTAGAACGCGATTATTTCAGGGCTCTGTGGAGAACCGCGCCCACCATTGCTGCAATCATCCCGCTTGTGCTTACTCTTATGCAAACCATCTGTTACTTTATCTCCCTTTAGTGTTCAATACGTGTGTGTAAGTACTTCCATTATGCCTTGTACTGAATGATTTTCCCATTACTAGTTCTAAAAGGAGTGTTGTTAATTTACAGAATTGGTGTTGTATTTCTATGAGAATATTTGCGAAATTCTATCCCAGAATTTCAGATTACTACTACTACTGCAAGTGAGATTTGTTCATTCCACATGAAAAAGCACGTCATGGTTAATTCTCAATTATTAGATTGGAATTTTAAAATTTTAATTGTTATCAGTTTTTCTCTCTGAGTTAAAAGTCAAATGACATGGTTTTCAAATCAGGGATTTCAAATTTGTTATTGATTTTTGTCTTGAGTTGTTTGTCATAGTTTTCAATCCCCAAACAGAGAGGAAAAAGAAAGCAATTAAGAAAAGTAATAAATTGGATAAAAGATGAACGATAAAATATTAGGGAAACTGGAAAGCTATAGGGAGTTTTTTTAATAATTGTGGTGAATTGGTTCATCCTTTTTCAGCAAAACACAAGGTAAGAAAGTATTTACTTGAAGGTGGGTCATCATCTTAGAACTTAAAGGTTAGAATTGTAATTTTAATATCTTTTTCACGTTCACTAAATTTAACTTTTAATGTTTAAAGAATTTGAATTTAGCCTTTTTCAATTAAATTTATTTGATAATGTACACACACATGCTTTTATTATACACGCATATTTTTAGGAGAATTTAAACGATCAAACCCTAATATTTGATTGAGAAGTAAATATCTCATACTGTTAAACCATGTTAATAATACAATTGATATATTACTAAAACAAAATAAAATATCACTTCAGATAAGATTTGAAATAAAAAATTAAAAAATTAAAAATTATTTTTTAATTACCCTTCAAGAGGGTTGAGTATTCGAGGATTGTAAAATCTCGACACCTATTTGCCATATAAGATATAAGGAGTAAGGACAAATATTTAATGGCATTATCTTTTTTAGAATTACAAAATTAGCCTTAAAAGTTATTAATGCGTTATCCATTTAAATTCATCTAAACCCACTCGCTGGCCCTAAAAAATATCTAAATAATAACAATACTAGATTTATGTACATTTAACGGTGTAGAATGGAATTGAACACGACGAGTACACGTGGATAACCATGAAAATGTAAAATGACTTTACACACGTCCAATCAACAGTTGCTACTTTACTTTGAACTTCTATTAAGACTCAATCTCGTCACATCAAATATGCAAACAACAATTGGACAGATTCTAAGTTCCAAGAGCTGTTAATTTATGTCATTTCGAGATCTTACTCACTAGATTTTCCTCGCAAAACGTTCTTGCCGAAGCCTCTCTCAGGTACCTCTCTGTTTCATTTTAATTTCTTCGTGGTTTCGTTGTTTTATTTCTCACTGATCATTCATTTTACACAATTCTAGGGTTAGTCATGCTTGTTTTGATTCTGCAGACCCCATAGAATGATGGGTCTGTTTTAGTTTTACTCCATCTGTTGGATTCTCAGACGATTGAATTTTATTGTGGTTCATCAAATTAGGGTTTTTAAAATTTTCATCTCAGTAGTAACCAATATGATTGCTCAAGATTATTAAAGTTCAGTCATTTAGAATTAATGGGTTTCATCAGTTCAGTTCAGTGCTTGTTATAGTTGAATTTTGAGTCTTTAGTGTTTTTAATATAAGAATGTTATTCATTTTTGCATAAACGAGCTTTTACAGTTCAGGTTGAACAGGGTAGAAAATTGAGATAATAATTCTTAATTTATGAATGTCTTTGTATTTTGGATCAGTGGTTTTTGTTCAATTTTTTTACGGGAAAACTAGGGGAGGCATATTGAATCCACTATGTTGAATTTTATTGTCTTTCATTAAGTTATGGTTTAAAGTATTTTCATCTTTGTAGTAAGCAGTATGGTTGTTCAAGATTATAAAAGTTCAGTCATTTTGAATTAATGGGCTTCTTCAATTCAGTGCTTTTTGTATTGGAATATTAAGTTTTCAGTGTTTAATATGAGAATGTCAGTGTTTAATATGAGAATGTCAAGTCATTTTTCGATAAAAATAAACAGGCTTGTGCAGTTCAGCCGTTCAGGGTTGAATAGAGTTGAAAATTGTGTTAATGATTCTTAATTTTTTAATGTCTTTTTATTTGGGATCAGTGATCTTTGTTAGATTTGTTGATCCATGGAGTCTTTTATTTCATTCTTTTCTGTTGAAATAATAGGTTTCTGTTGTGAGTTAATTCCACTACTGTGTTAGTGTTTGGAAAGGGATTAGATATGTTTGGAAGCAATTTAGGAAGTAATGCTTTGTTAGCTGGCAGAATGTTTGTTTTTTTAGGAAGTCAATTTAGTGTTTTCCTAGACAATCATGTTATATGTGATTGAGTGATTCAAAGCAGGGAGCACACCAAAGGCTATCAAATAACAAATTTATTGGGTTATTTGTGAAAAGCAGAGGATTTGAACAACCATGGAGGAGATCGCATGGGGAGCTGATCCGTTGACGGGAAGCAGAGATCAGGGTGAATAGTGTGGTGTGTAAGTCTGGTTCGATTCTTGGGGTTAGATTCTAGTAACCTAGTTTTGTAAACCTTTCTCATGGTGGATTACTTATGCCTGGACCAAAGGTCCAGTGGTCTTTCTCTTTTTAGGGTTTTTTTTACATATAAGTCTTGTGTCTTTGCAATACTTTATTCATTGTCTTATGCATTCGAACGTCTATAATTTAGACATGTGGATAATGAAACTAACTTAAAGTAGGACATAATATAGCGGAAATTTGAATAGTTAATTATATTCACAAAAAAGTATCCATAAAACCTATTCATCCTCTAGGTCTAACTTGAACTGGGCGTATTCTGAGGTGTTAGAGCTTTAGCCCTGGGTATGATTTAGAACACATCAACACGCTGTATGCTGCTCCATAGATCTGGGATTGGGAGGATTGTGGAGGTGGTTAGCCTCAAGGAATGTTGGATGGGAGCTCATGGCTCCTTTTCCTTGAAAAAGCATGTGGTGGTCGAAAGTTCTGTTTTTTAAGATTTTGTTCTTTTGGTTGTTTTTCTTTCAGCATTAGAGGAGTATGCTTTGAGGTGCAAGACGTCAAGGAAAGGCAGGTTTGAGGTTCGATTTTGTTACAGGATGTTGAGAGGACGGAGGAAGGCAGCTTCCGGTGGTAATAAGACATCTCCCAAGGTTTCCTTCTTTTATTGGGCAACTGATATAATTGCAATTTGCTACAAGAACCCATGCAACATGTAATCAAAGTTGTAATTTCAGAAGTTTTAGGTTTATAATTAAGTTTTTAGGTGGTGTTTTTATTTTTGTAAGATATTTTTTTATTAAATTTTTATTTCCTTCTATAAATATTTTGTAAAGCTAAATCTCACAAAAATTTCCATAACTTCTTGGGTCTTGTTTTAAAAATTATCTTAGAAGCTCTACCTATTTTAGATCCCACTTTATTTAATCAGATCAGGTGTTTTGGTATGTTTAGGATAAGAAATTAAGCCAACTTTTGAGTTAATAAAATTTATATGAATTGTGCTCTCGTCTTCTCGTCAGTCTTCCTTGTGATAGACGAGATATTATTAAAATTATTAAGTGACAACGACTTCAATAACAAATGTTTAAAATTGAAAAAGATATTATTAAAATTATTAAGTGACAACGACTTCAATAATAAATGTTTAAAATTGAAAAAAATATTATTAAAATTATTATTTTAATTACTGTTTAATAACTTCAATATTTAAAATTCAACTCTTAGATCTGCGGTACTTAATTTTCAGTTTTATCAAACAATACCATCTAAACACTCGTGTAACAGCAATGCTGCAATACAATTACATAAAAAATTTAATAAAGTATAAAAAATTTTGTATTATTAATTTAAAATTATTGCTTTGTGGATTAAAGTTATTGTGTGAGAAACTCACTTGTTGGCCCTAAAAGAATAAAAAATAGTAACACTAGATTTGTGTCATTTATTAACGGTGTAGAATGGAATTGAACACGACGAGTACACGTGGATAACCATGAAAATGTAAAATGACTTTACACACGTCCAATCAACAGTTGCTACTTTACTTTGAACTTCTAAAAGACTCAATCTCGTCACATCAAATATGCACACAACAATGGTTGTATCTCACATGTAACCATGTTTTATCCTTTTGCTAGTTGTTAGAGGTGTCCCACATCGGATCCGGATGGAAGTGAAATGGGTGTATATGGGTGGATATGCAGCACTACCCAATAGCTTAAGCTTTTGGGTTAAAGGGCAAGCGACCGACCCGTTACACTAGTCCACTAGTATGAGTAAACAGAAAAACCTTGGTTGTGAAAGAGTAGGGGTTCACAACTGCGGTTCGGGGTTAAGTGTGAAATAAGACTCTAACTAAGACTCAAGTTACTATTCTATGTTCATTGATTAATTAGAAAGCTTAGATCGTGGTTAACTTATTTATGGATGTTAAGCCTAACATTTATCTTTCTATAAAATATTTTTGTGGATTGACTACTGGACTCTGGAATGTAGTCGGTGCTTCCCTTAAAGTAGCTACTTTTGGTTAAGAATGTATGGACTTTATCGAGGGTATAGATTAAATGTTGGCGCCATGTAGGTTTTTTCATAAATCAGTGTGATTGTATGCTAGCAAAAGACAATGTTATTATGTGGTTGGCTATTACTGGACTTGCCTTGAGTTGCAAGTGCTAGAAAGTGAAATCTCAACTCCTAGTCAATTTCAATCATATTGCTTCGTGGAATCCTCAAAATGCTTTAAAATGTGCTTGTATGTTTGATAGGATAAATGTTTCAAATAATTAACCCTTTTTTTTTTTTTTTTTCCTGAAAATGACTCCATTTATAGTATAATTGTTGAGAATAGTGATGAAGTGTTGTACCTTAAAATCAAGGACTTCAACAAGCTTTTGGGCTTCTTGTAATTTTGAATGTCACACGTTTTTAGTATGAACATCTATATTTTAGGATTTCCAAGCTCATGAATATATTGCTTAAGCAAAGGTTTTGCTGGCTTTTTATTTTATGATCTAGATTAGCTGTTATCAGACTTGGGAAAGTGCTACACACGTAGTCTTCATTTATAATGTCAACTATTATATTAAGAGCTGTATCATATTTATTTATGCTGATTTTTTTCCTAGTAATGGAAAAGGAAAGAACTTGGTTGCACAACCTTGAAGGCTTCCCTTTGTTATCACCTTTAGGCTTTTTAGGACACTCACCTAGTACATGTTTTCTCACCGCAGTCTCACCACAGTTCCAACAAGTTACTTCTTTAGTGTGCCTTTTCTTATCTTTCTTAGTCTCTTCTCTATCTTTAGAGTTTCCTTTCTTTCTAGATTTTGAATTGAATTTTGACTTTTCCAAAAACTTCATAAACTTTCTATTAAGTACTAAGTAGGGCTTTCTCTTCTTCAGTCTCACTACTCGAGTTTTCGCTAGACTCTTTCATAAATTCCTTGTTCTTTTTTAGAGGAGGAAAGCTTAAATTGTGAATCTATAGCGAACCTACAAGATCAACTACCTTGATGTTATCTACATCTTTACTCTCTTCTATAGTAGTAACCTTAGCTTGAAGTTGTTGAGGGAGAGACCTAAGAATCTTTCTAATCATGTTGTTTTTGGAATAGCTTCACCTAACATAATGCTACCATTATCTAAGTCATTAATCAATTCATCAAATGTTTCATGTTCTTAAGATTCTCAAACTTAGTGGTCAACATCTGAAGTTCAGAAATTTTTAACTGGGGTACTACATTCTTGTACTTTATCAAATTTGCCTAGCTTCCTTAACAAGAGTGCAGCTTGTAATTCTACCAAATTTGGTAGGGTTCACAACAGTAAAAACAGCGTGCAAAGCTCTAGAGTTGTAATTTTCCTCAATAAATTCCTCTAATCTATTATCAGTTTTTAGATTCCCTTTATAGTAGGAGGAGCCCAACCGTTTTCAATAGCTTACCAAACATTTTCATCCATTGATTTCAGAAAATCTTGCATTCGGGCTTTCCAAGTAGCTGTAGTTAGACTCATCGAAGAGAATTAATCTAGTTATGGAACCGCCTTCCTTAAGGCTTTTTTTTTTTTTTTTTTGATAAGTAATAATTGATTAAAAAAGCGTTCAAAAGGGGAACACGTCCCTCATACAAAAGCGGAACCGGGATCTAAGGACCCAAAGAGTCCAATAGATTAACTAAGTCATTGGAAGAGGAGCAAGAACTCCTTTTCATGTAACTAAAGATAGAGCGAATAATATGAAGTTTCAGCGTCACCGTGGATGACTCCTTTCCTTCGAACATTCTGCTATTCCTCTCCTTCCAAATGCCCCACCAAACGCAATGTGGAACTGTCCTCTAATAATTGCGTATGCTGCTTCTCACGCGGCATCCCCTTCACACATTAATCAGACCCTTAGAAGATCAAGGCATTACCCAAAGCATACCAAATAAGCCAAATATAAGGTTCCAACAGTCATACGCCACGGGGCAATGCAAGAGAATATGATCCACAGACTCACCATCTCGTTTGCAAAGGCAGCATCAATTAATAATATTGTTGCCTCTCTTCCTCAAGTTGTCAAGCGTCATAATCTTGCCCCATACGGCATTCCATACAAAGAACGCCTAAAACGCATGTCCCATGTAATCCCACTGCTATCAAGCCGATAACAGTCAACTACGTAGGCATGTCTATCAGCGGCAATACTACAGAAGCTGGGAAAGGTGCAAGATAACGGCTGGTCACCACACCATAAATCCTCCCAAAATCGAACACATCTACCATCCCACTGCTTAAGGCTTTTGTAGTTTTATTTTTTATAAGTTTCATTGAAGAGTGCTCAAGAGGGGAGTACATCCCAAATAAAAACTATACAAAGCCAAAAGGAACCTCTATACCCTCAAAGAATCTGCAAAAAACTCTCCTTGAGTCTCTGCGCACACGATCCGTGCATCAACAGACTTCGCTCACGATTCTTCTTCTCCACCAACGTTTCAGTCTCAGACACTACTTGTCCTGTTCAATCTCTGAGCGGTGGATTGAGAGGGTGTTGAGCTCTTCAATTCTAGTCCGTAGTGATAGATGTCAACAACATCATATCACATTTACCGATTCTAAAGAGCTACATCAGTTTTATTATATTCTCTCTTAGTTTTGTTTAAAATGACCACCTCTATTTATAGGTGAAAGAATACAAGTGATAAATATGGAAAATACATTGACGGAGGATTTCTAAAATCAATCCCTTAAATCACTCCTATCAATATTTTGTCGAGCTTAAATCACTCCTATCATAATATTCTCCCAACAATGATGAAGCACTAATTTGCTTGTGAGGATGCAGCATATGTGGAATGTTAGAGCACTTTGGTCGGTTACCCATTTTGTCTTTGCTGGTATATGTTGTAGTGGTGGTGGTGGTTTGGGTGGAGAGTAAAGTATCAGATATAGTCAGCTCTTTGTTTATTGAATTACAGGACAATCTTTAGTTTTGAGATATTCTTATTTAGATTTTTGTCGAAAGATATGGAAGTTCAATTTTATGGCGGGGTGCCTCTGTTTGTAATGAAATTATAAGCTGCTTAAGAGGAAAAACTTTCTATTGCATGATTGGTGTTGTATGTGAAGGGGAGAGAAATAGAAGTCAATCATCTTCTTACACATTGCACTGCAGCATCGAGAACCTCATTTGGATGCTTCCTAGTTGGTAGTGTGTCCCAGTTGGAATGTGATCACTTTGTTTTAGTACATTTAGGGGAAATGCTTCCTAGTTGGTAGTGTGTCCCAGTTGGAATATGATCACTTTGTTTGTTTTAGTACATTTAGAGGAAATGGACATGATCTTTTGCAGACACGGAGTTTTGATTCTAAGTTAAATAATTATTTATTATGGAGCTCATTGTTTTCATGGTATCGGAAGGAGGACTACTGCATGTGCATTCTTTTATTTGGTTTTGTCAAAAATCAGAGTCTGGAAATGTTGATCTACCACCCCCCCATTAGGGATAATTAACTCCCTCCAACCCACTCAACGGTCGGCTGTTGAGAGTTAAATCCCTCTTTCATCACACACAACGGAAGCATCATTACATCAGATCAATACAATCACATATGGAAATTACAATCATACACATCCACAACACATTATTTTACATGGTTCACCCAACTCTAGGGCTACGTCCATGGAGAGAGGGATTTCACTATTATATATCAAGGAAGATAATATACAACCAGATGTCAAAACCCCACTCACTCACTCATCATATTTTTTGAGGCTATCTCTACACGTGGGAATTATAGATACTCTCCCCTCTTCTCACAACACACACCCTTAAACCCTTTACATCTTTTCTCTCTTCTCTTCCTCTCAACACCTCTCAACCCAATTCCTTGTTGGACAGGTATTCCCCAACTTGCCTTTAAGGAATTACCATATCAGTCTAAATTCTAAAATAGCAGTCTTCTGACTTCCCCAAACACATACACAGCATATTTCTGGGTTTTATAACATTTTTGAGTGTGCAGTCATGAATACTTCCTGTGTATTTGGGTAGTGTTGTACCTCAAACTTTAGATTGATTGCCGTAATTAAATTCAACCACCTGCTTGAGTTACAAAATTGAAACATTTGCAGCGAATGATTTTTTTGTGCAAAACATTGACATGAAACTTCTCATATAATGCGGTTGAGTTGATTGTAATTGTGACTCCTTATGCCTCTGATGCTATGGTTTCTTATGATAGCATGCCATAAACCTTGCACATATTCATGCATTTATCATTATAGCTCATTTTATAAATTCCTTTGGGATCTGTGTTTCTATTATGTTGAAGTAGCTAACACCATAACCCCCTTTTTTTATTGTGAAATTCAGTATCAGGTGTTATTCTTAATTTCCAAGCAGAAGCTGTACCAAATATTTAGTTCGTGAGTACGGTAACGGTAGAAGGGAATTGCCACAAATTTTTTTTGCAAGTATCCATCTTGTCAGGAAGTTTGAGAAAATGTCTAATGAACAAAGAAAGGTCTCACATCGAGATATACAACTGGTAAGCTGTTGAGCATGGATTTTGTTCTTGATGGACTACTGTTTATCAGCTGCCTTGTTTCTGTACCGAATCATAGCGCAACAAGAGACTTCTTCTAAAAATATATATATATATATATAATAATAATAAAATAAAACCTATCAAAAAAAATAAATAAAAAAGCAGAAGAAGAAGGAAAAAAAAGTGAGGATAACCCTACAAAGGAAAACACTAGGATATATCATCACATAAATCTAAATTACTTAAATTTTTGAAAGAAGAAATTGTAATGGTAATAATACAAATATGTGAGTGGCTTGAGCTCAAGATTCGTTTGGCAGCTTGTCAGATAATCAAAAGTGGATTTTCCTGATCCATTCGTTCGTAGAGCTATTTACTTGATTGCAGACATTTCTGGAAAACCTCTAACAGAGGGACAAGTAGTCAATTTTGAAAGAACTTATTGTCAACCTCTTTCAGATATGAATCTATCTGGAGCCTTTGTCTTCTTGTTTTGTCTACTAGAATGAAGATTATTGAAGGTACCTGATGTGCTTACCTTACCTTTCACATGTCTTCAACTTTTACAAGTATAAAAAATGATAAACCAAATCACTGAGTTATACACACACACATATATTCAGATACTAAGTTTAAAATTATCCTTGCTATGTTAAACATGCTAAAAACTCTTTTGAAGATTGGTGAGTTTTTTAGTTCAAAAACTGATAGATTACTTTTTGTACACCCTCCAGTTACTTCTTTATAAAAAAAGGTACATAGCAGTAATTTCCAATGTCATTCCCTGAATTGCATAAGAGGCTAGTTGCAGTTCTATTACGCAGTCCATGATGCAAGGCATCAATATTGAAGCTAATCAAAGTTGGGAAAAAGTAAGACTAGTCATTTAATAAAATTATGAAGTACTAATCTTGTGTTACTCTATTTAAGAAAATATACTCCTTTACTTTATGAAAAAACATTTTATATTCCTGCCTTACAATCAAGTGTCTAAGAACTCAGAACTATGATAAGTCAACTCAACAATCAATAGAGTCAATTTTGACTGAACTTGCAAATATTGAGGTCAGGTTTCTTTTTATTTTATTTATTGTCTTGGTGATAGCTTGTAGCTATGCTTACTGAAAAAAAAGATTTGCTTCTAGTTATACAGTACCTTGTAGGAAATCTGTCTGATGTTATAATTAATCGTCTTTGACGTAGCTATCTCTAATTTCAGGTGCAAAATCTTATAGAACGATGTCTCCAACTTTATATGAGCCAGAAAGAAGTTGTGGATACTCTTTCAATTGAGGCAAAAATAAAGCCTGAATTAACAGAGGCTGGTAACTCATTTGTTCTCTCATATATTTTCCATTTTGATATATCTTGCGAGACTGACACATAGAATAAGCTAGTTTATTATTAGTATTATTAATGTTTCATATAAATATATATTTATGTTTGGTTATCATCCAACTATTGGTTACCTGTCACTTTTTCAATCAAGATAGATGTATGTTATATGTTGAAAATTTCTAAACTTGGGATGTATTTTATGTGTCTTGGGTGAGAGTTGAACTCATGATAATCTGGTCCATGTACAGACTCTTAATGTTGAAGTCTGGTAGTAGGGACAACCTTGACTCATATGCTAGCCATTAATACTTAGAGGAGACTGGTTGGCACTTGTTTTAAGCAAATTTAATGATAAAAAGAGAGTTTTTTCTTTAATGATAGTGTCTCTCTCTCTCTCTCTCTCTCTCTCTCTCTCTCTCACACACACACACACAGTGGAGAAAGTAGAAAGCTGATTCGTGTTTTGACGTTTGACGTTGTTATGTCTTTGTGTTTAGTGTTAAGTTGGCACCTAGTAAGTTTAACAATGCTTGACATATTCCAAAGTAACAGGTATAAAAAGAAAAGAAGCTTCTTTGTTTCTTTTTCTTTTCGTTTTTTTTCCCCAGAAAGCTCAAATTATTTTGGTCCAGAAAGTTAAGTTGAATGTCTATTTTGAGGCTCTTGTTGTATCTTCTTCAAGCCTTGCAAGTTAGTTTCTTTAATTTCTTGTATTTTTATGCTTTGCTTTCATTTTTTTGAATCTCGACACCAATTATTGGTCATATGCCTCCACTGGAATGATGGGGATTTTGGTGCTTGCACACAATACTCTTGGGGAGCTCAAATTGGTGATGTTACGTATCACAAGGTTATAACACCTAACATCACCAATTTCTTAGGAATGGGGAAGATGTGTCGGGAGATAATTATTTGTAATGGCTTTTTCTCTATGAATCTTTTTTCAAGCAGTTGAGTGGTTACGAGGGAGGTGAAATTTGAAAGACCAAGGTGTATATCTCGTTTATTACTCCTGAAGTTACCTTTTTAACTTGGACCATCACTAAAGATATATGTTTGAATCAGATCACTTGATTCTTAGTGGGTGAGAGATTCCACAGGTGTTGCTAGTTTTAATATGAAAAAGAATCTTTGAATTAGCTTTACATCATTGTTCAGTGGCTCTGGAACTTTTGGCTTCATTTTTTTTCCTCATTTGGTATTTCTTCTTTCTTGACAAGATAGGTGCCACAAACCCTTAGGTTAAGGGAGGGTGTTACGACAAACGCAGCAAACCCAAGAAACAACCAAGAACACGACAGAAAATAAACACACCACACAAGGAACACAAAGATTTAGCTTGGTTTGGCGTTCACGGTGAAGATCTGGCGAAAGGATTCACCATACGAAAATCTGGAGATTATAAGTTTCAGCCCCCAAAAGCTAGCTCTTGCTCGCACTTTCTTTTCAGCGATTTTAAGTCTCTCTTAATAATCCCACTCCACAGCGATTTTCAGTATCTCTTAATAATCCCACTCGAAACCCTAAGTGTTCTTATATATCAGGCTACAAGAGAGTACTAAACAGGGCCCACAACTTGTGAGCAAAAAACCGGGTCAAAATTTTTCGCCGGGGGCACCCAGAGCTTTGGTGGGCTTAGATCAATCAGGTCAACCCAGAACCAAATTCAGACCACAACATCACAGAGGAAAATGAGCAGAAAGATTATTTGGAAAGTGATGTCTATGTTTTTCCTTTGGGTTATGTGGGAAGAGTGGAATAGAGGGATTCTGGAAACCTAGAGCTTCCCATGCCAAAACTCGATAATTTATATTTATATATTTTTTTCTCCTTTTCTGTAGATAGGCTTTCCTTTGTGGATTTTTTTTTTTGGTTATAACTTAAACTTTGTTTGGTTCAAATATTACCCGCATGTATGTGCTCTGCCCTTTGTCTTCCTTTAAAAATGCTTTCTTGTGAATGAACTAGCATAAAGCTTGAGGTATCTCTCCCCATTCTTTGGTTCCATTGGATTTTTATTAATATTATTTTTTCCAAGTAGTGAAATGCTTTTAAACTGCAACTTTGGCTCCTCAAATAGTGCAAAAACTTCTTCTAATCCATGTTGAGCTCAAAAAAAAAAAAAAAAAAAAAAAAAAAGATCCATATGAAAGCAATGTATGAACAATGTGGGAGGTACCTTTAAACAACAGACCATCTTGTGCATCTTGATGAGTTACAAACATCTAGTTTTAATCTGCCTAATTAAATAAGAAATGAAGAATGCTTCCTAGTTCCAAATTTTTAATGGTCCAAGATTTTTAAGATACCAGAACCTTTTGTGTAGGTACCATCTCTATGGATGTAAGGCTCATGTTAAGGTTTTTTTCATACAATTTTTGTTCTTGATAGAACAACTTCTTTTTTATTTTTAATCTTTTGTTGAGAAGTATCTCTTGAGAGGAACATAATTATACATGGATGCTAATGTTGCAGTATGTGATCAAACCACAGTAGAGGACAGCAAAAGACTATATTTTTATTTAAACTGAGCTAATGGGCAAAAGGACGCCGCACTCTAAATTTGAGCAGAGGCAGCACTAGGCATTGTGTATTTTTGTTTTTTTGATAAGTAAAATTTATTGAAAGATGCTCAAAAGGGGAGCGGATCCCAAAGGAAAACACAAGGCCAAAAAGCGCATCAAGCCTTCAAAAAGGCCAAAAAAACAACAATCTCCTCTACAGATCTATACTCCCTCCCAGAGACCCAACAAAAAAGAGTGGAAATAATAGAGAACTTAAGCATAGAAATAGGCTTCTCCTATCCATTGAAATATCTCCGATTTCACTTGAGCCAAATGCACCACCAAATACAAAGAGGCGTAACCCTCCAAGCATCAAATCCCAACAGTCCCTGGATATGCTACAATGTAACAGAAGGTGATCGACTGTCTCCTCATTGCGCAAACACAAATAATAACGATTAACCACCACCTGATTCCTCCTCCTCAAATTATCCTGGGTTAAAATCCTACCCAAGACAAAAGTCTGAGCAAAGAAGGCCACCTTGAGAGGAGCCTTAGAATGCCAAATAGACTTCCAAGAGAAAGGACCACCAGAACCAACCGTAAGACACCTGAAAAGGGACTGAACCTCGAAGCGACCCTGAGAGTTAGGATCCCAAAGCCAACAATCAGACTCCCCCGCTATAATCACCTGGCGATACAATAACTCCAAAAAAGCGAGTAACCTCCTCAATCTCCCAATCCTGAAAATGCCTCCTAAACTGAACATCCCAAGTCAGCCTCCCGTTATCAAGATGATAACAGTCAACCACGAAGGCCTGCCTATGGGAAGCAATCCTATAGAGCCTTAGGAAAGCGAGAGCAAGAGGAAGCTCCCCACACCAACGATCCGTCCAAAATCTGATCCTCCTACCATCCCTGATCCGAAAACGGACATGCTTGTTGAAATCATCCCACCCCTTCCGAATAAAAGTCCACCCTCCACAACTTTCCCCAAATTTGATCGCAATAACCCTCCTCCAAAGCCAACGCCTCTCCACCCCAAACCTCCAAGGAGAGCCTTATTAAAAGGCAACAACCTCCTAATCCCTAAGACTCCATTCTGAATCGGGCAACACACTTGCTCCCAGCGCACCAGATGATGCCAGTGAGTTGTTGAGAAAAACAATGTTGATACATGAACCGGTTTAAGTTTTGTCTTTTTTTGCAGGTACTGGAACAACGAGGCACTGTTTGGCAGATTTTTTTAAAAAAAAAAAAAACCTAAAAATAGGTTATTTAGAGCTCTTTTTTTTGAAAAATAAATAAATAAATAAAATTCATTAAATAAAAAATATATTGTTTAGGTATTGTTTGTCCAAAAAAAAAAAAAATTAGGCCAAAAATATATTAAAAAACCTTTTTTTTTATATTCACATACAAGCATGCTTATCATACAACTTAAATTACTACACATCCTCATATATTCATACATGTTCAATCAAGTCAAAGTGAACTATAATCAATACAATTAAGCATTGTCACTATGAAAATGCAAGCCATATGATCATGAGAGAAAACAATCTAAGACAAGATAATCAACTCAAAATGATCATTTAAAAACATTAATATCCATTACAACATGTGTATAGCTCTAGATTGTAAAAATGCCAAATATATACATCATTCCCCAAATTGAATCTCCAAAGGCATTATTAATGCAATGGAGGATGAGCACTAAGTTGAGTTGTGGCACAAGAGGCTTGCTCACATGAGTGAGAAAAGTTTGACAATGTTGGCTAAAAAGAATCTTATATCAGGAATTAAGAGTGCATCTTTGAAAAAGTGTACTCATTATTCGGCAGGGAAGCAGAATAGAGTTTCTTTCAAGAGTTTCCCTCCTTCAAGAAAGCCAGGTATACTTGACTTGATACATTCAGATGTCTGTGGCCTTATGAAGACGATGTCACTCGGTAGTTCTCATTATTTTATAACCTTCATAGATGATCATTTAAGGAAATTGTGGGCTCTGTGGTCTAGGGAGCGGGCTCCCTCAATCCATGGAGCCGGCTCTCTCTCTCTCATAGAGAGCTGCTTCCTCCGTTTCCTCTTCTGGTTCGTCTTCTTCACTTTCGACGCCTGAAAATGCATGCACCAGAAAAATTAGACTTGACGCGGGGTTTTCGAGACCGAAATGACATTTTTTGGATTTTTGCTGGTTTATATAACGGTATGCACGGTTGCATCAAATTATATCTGAAAAGACCATTTTACCCCTTGTAAAGTACCCTTGCCGCATTGATTTCAAACCCAAAAGTTTGATTTTATGAAACTTTGGAGTTTCATATCTTCTTCATCCGGACTCCGAATCAAGTGATTCTAAAAATGACTAAGTTTTGGAGCAGCCAACTTCTGCCAATTAAGACCATGCATTTTGAGATTAATATCATCATGTCCCCAAATGAAATTCCTCATTCTTCTTTCAATAAGTTTAATGACACCCGTAGGTAAAGAGTACACTGATTTTTGTATAAAAGAGGGCATTTTTTTTGTGATCCTTGGTGTATTTTGATGTATCTGATATGTATAAATTGAGGATTTTATTGGAAAATTCGGGGTCGTGACACCCAAAAACATAATCTAGACTCTCAAGATATGCATGAAAATCCTTTCTAGACTATGTCTTTACAATGCATCTAATCAAGAGTTTTATAAATTTAATGTTTTGTTACAACTCACAGTATTAGAAGCTGAGTTAGTTGGCCAAGTTCGAGCTTTACATCCAATTGCTCAAGCTTTCCTTCTTAGGCTTGAGCTTTTCATCTAAGGCTCGAGCTTTGCCCCCAAGGCTCTATCCTAGGCGATATACGCACCTTAATCATGATCTTAAGACTCAAGCTCATATCACGGTACCGTAATCATAATATATAAATTTCGTACAAGCCTAATAAAAAAATATCATCCATCTGATACAGTGATCTGACATATGTATAAAAGAAAAAATCGGTGGCGGCGGAGGAAATTTTTTATTCAAATGCCACTTTTGTAATAAGGAATTTAGGGGGTCTTATACAAGAGTTAAAGCCCACTTGTTGAACTCTCCTCCTCCCCCCCCCCCCCAAACAAAAAAAAATGAAAATTGCACTGCAATCTCTCAATTCTCTCAGCCACAGAGAAAGGAATCTAAAAAAGAGAGATGAAATAAGTGGGGAGGCATGAAAGGGTGCTCTTGATCAGAGTGACCCGACCCCTTTTGGAAAGGTACTGCTTCTTCCAACCCGCCAGGCGCTTCTCAAATCTATCCACAACTGGATCCCGGCTCCCCACACACCTCGAAGGCGCTCCCAGAGGCAACCCAAGGTAAGAAATGGGAAAAGAGCTAGTGCGACATCCAAAAATCTAAGCAAACATCTCAATCTCAGGGACCTCCCCAACCGGCACCAATACGCTCTTACCGACATTCACCTTCAACCCAGAGACAACATGGAACCAAACCAAAACGCATCTCAGATATCGCAACTGGGACGCATTAGCATCACAAAGCACTAAAGTATCATCGGCAAACATCAAGTGGGAGATCTCCAATTGACTAGCAACATTCCTACCCACCCGAAAGCCTCTCAAAAAACCCAACTCGACCGCCCTCTTAATCAATCTACTGAAGGCCTCCATCACAAAAAGAAACAAGAAAGGAGAGAGCAGATCCCCCCTTGTCTCAATCCCCTCGAAGAAGAGAAAAAACCCGTCAGAGCTCCATTCACAAGAACAGAGAAACGGGCACTCGAGATACTAAAAAGAATCCATGACCTCCAACGCACTCCAAACCCCATCCTCTCCATCAAATAGAGAAGGAAATTTCAGCTCACATGAGCATACGCCTTCTCAATATCCAACTTACACAAAACACCCGGATCCCCACAACTCAATCTGGAATCCACACATTCACTGGCAATAAGAACTGAGTCCAAAATCTGACGTCCTCCCACAAAGGCATTTTGAGAGTCAGAAATGACACCATCCAAGACCTTCCTCAACCTAGAAGCCAAGACTTTAGCAATCAATTTGTAGAAGCACCCAACCAAACTAATAGGACAAAAATCCTTGATATCCAATGCCCCTCCCTTTTTCGGAATGAGGGCGAGAAAAGTGGCATTCAAGCTCTTCTCAAAAGAGCCCTGAGCATGAAAAGCGTGAAAAGAGCCCATCACCTCCTCACGGACCACCTCTCAACACTCCAAAAGGAATCTCATGGAATATCCATCTGGACCTAGGGCTTTGTCTTCGTTACACCTCTTCAAAGTAGACAAAACTTCCTCTTCAGAGAAGGCACCTCCAGAGCAAAGCATTCCTCACTCGAAAAAGTATCAAAGTGAAGCCCTGCAAGCAAAGGTCTCCAACCAGCAGATTCAGTGAACAACATCGAATAGTAATCTGCAATACCCTTACAGATCTCTTCCTCCTTACAAAACATCTTCCCATCCACCCGGATCCTCCCAATGTGATTGCCCTTTCTATGAGCATTGGCAAGTCTATGAAAAAACTTCGTGTTGTTGTTGCCCTCCTTGAGCCACAAAGCTCTAAACTTTTGCCTCCACGAAATCTCCTCCATGATAGCAATCTCAACAAACTCCGCCTTACACTCTACCCTCCTAAGTCTCAAGGAATCCGCCAAAATGCCCTAACTCTCCAACCGATCAATATCAACAATCTAAAAAAAAACCCAATTCTTTCTCCAAACCAGATTACCGAAGACCTCTTTGTTCCAAACCTTAATATCATTCTTCAAAAAACGCAACTTACTTGCGAGAGAATGACTTGGGGTGCCAACCACTCCATACCCCGCCCACCAGGATCGAACACGCTCCAGAAGCCCTCAGCCCGAAGCCACATATTCTCAAATCTGAAAGGGGATTTCCTACTGCGCAATCCACCACAATCCAACACCAACGGGACATGATAAGATAATGGGCGAGCCAAAGTGGCCTAAACAACATCAGAGAACTTCTCCTCCCAATCACTTGACACGAGGAACCTGTCAAGTCGAGAGAAGGTAGGAGGAGAGCGACCGCTAGACCAAGTAAAGGGGCCACCCACCAAAGGCAAATCAAACAACCTAGACCCACAAGGAACCTAGGCATTGTGTATTGCAGAGTTATATCATTGAAAAACAGTTTAAATGGCTCCGTAAATGGGAAAGCAGACACCAGTGCTGATAATGTGTTATCGAGTACCATATAACTAGCTGGGTTTATATGTCTAGTACCAGATTATTGATCTTGTTGGAACATTGGCTCATTTGCTTAAAAATTTCCTGCTACTTTGCAGCAGAAAGTTGGTCACAGTGCTTGAATTACTATTTGCATGTTCCATACTATATTTTTTATATTGTTACCTGAGAATTTTATAAGTAGACAGCTCGAAAGTCAATATCTGATATTTTGACATAGACCGGAAACGGTTCACCTAATATTATTGGCTGCTTCTTCAGATTTGATGACTTAATACTGTTGCTAGGGTATTGCCGTATTGGGGTCATTGCTAACCTATTGCAGATGTAATTGTCAATATGACACACACAAAGTTGTCACGAACTTTACAACTCCACTTTCAGTAGAAGATACACATTTTCATTATTGTACATTTTATTAAATTGGAAAAACAAATGTGGACCATTATGGACATTTCCTTTATGTTACAGCACGATAATTTTATGATATTAGGTAACTCATGAAATTTGGATTACTGCCCATACTCAATACGAGAACTTATAAGATTAAGGAAGTAACGAATTCTGCTTGCTTTGTCAGTCTCGTGTATAAAAAATTTTATTTTTTTGAAGTATATAATTCATGCTTGTTTCACAGTTTGGCAAAGACTAGAAGTAGAAAATCTGGAATTTTTCAAGGCATATCATCTGAGATTGATAGTGAAAGAACAAATAGTGGAATACAACAAGTTACTTGCGAGACAGGTTGAGCTGATGGATCAGATATGTCCGACTGGAGCTGCTTCCTTATCTATGTCAAATGGAACTCATTTTCCAAGTAAGACTACTTACGACATTTTGAATTTGGTCATGTCTAACCTTTTGTGGGTGCTCCCTTTTCTTTCTTTTCTTTATTATTATATTTTATTTTTGGCAATTTGTTTTCGGTAATTTTATTTTTGGCAATTTTGGGAGTTGCTTTTACGTATATTTTAACAGATAATCTCGTCTCTTGGCAATAGTTCACACAGGAAACTTGTTACTTTATTTACAGCCTATTTCAATTAAATAAAATAAAAATGCACCTTGTCATGTCCTGGCAACTGATTGCCAATTGCCAATACCCAAATCTGGTTGTTTTGGTTTTGATATTTAATTAATCTACTTCAATTTGATCCGATTCTGTTGCTGCAGTAACCTCATTTCAGCATTAGGTTGTCATCAGTCAGTGCTGCTCTGGAAATATTAATGTTTCTTGTTACTTTTTTGTACCTGAATTTTAACTTCATCATACAATCTAGCATAAGCATCTTATTGTGTTCAAGTCACTGGAATTTTTTTTCTTCTGCTATAAACTAACAACTGATGAAGCATCAAGGAGCAAATATATGTGTGTTATGCTTGGCTGCACCGAATCGGCACTTTGGATTTGGGATTGGAGAAAATTTAATACAAAATTTGAACTAAACTTCCTCCAATCCCAAATTCAAAGCACTAATTCAGTTCTCCCAAACATAACAATGGTGTACTTTCAGTAGCAGACTTTTGTTCCTGCTGGAGTTAGATATGGCTTGTAACTGTGACACAAATTCTGGTATAAAATATAAATAAATATCATTCATGTGTTCCTATAAAAACCTAGTACCAGATCCTCATCCAATTATCTAGGTGTCAGATGTTAGAAAAGAGTTTCTCCAACAGTTCCTTGATCCTCGAAAATGATTTTGAAGTGAGGGGATCTTCTTACATGAAATGTCAGGCAATTCTTGCTGGAATGTATTTATCTTTGTTCGTCATGAGAAAGATCCTCCAATCTGTCAAGATTGCTTTTGCGCCTTGAGCAAGCCAATTTTATTAGCAACTAGAGTTTGTTGTCCTTGATATTTGTTTTAAAGAACACCCGAGCCACAGGATAAGGTTTTGGCCAATGGAGTTTTGGCATCAACTATTTAGAAACATTTAGGGTTGAGACTGACAAAGTTAGAAATTTCACAGGGTATATAGTATAATTATTTATGTAGATGAACCTAATGATACTTCATTACATAAGACGCAAATTTATCAGGAAGTTGAATAGTTAAAGAAGAAATTGATACAGAACCTCTGCAGAAGCAAGGACTGCCAATACATGTACCTCAGAGTGCTTGTTGGACATTTACTGCATTCTGATTAACTTGTGAAGTGTTCATACTACATCGACAAAATACTGATTCTACCAACGAAAATGTTAGATGAGGTCATTTCAGGAGGTTGCAACATTGCTGGAGATTTCTAATTGGTGATGTAAAGATGCAGATTTGTGGATGGATGCAGTGTGTAGAAGTGTAAATGAGAGAAGTTCAAGCTGGAACAGAGTGTCTTAAGTCCGTGTTTGGTGGGCCAATTCATATCCATGTTGGGACTCTACAAGTGGTGGTGTAGCGGGTGACATTGACTTGGAAGATTGTTACATGGGTTGGGGTCTTCAAGCTTCTTGACTTTTTACTTTTGTTTACCATCTTTGCATAATAAATGAAAGAGGGTTATGCAGGAGGGTAGCAGAGTTGGGGAAACTTCGTTGTTGCTCAATGCATGCTAGTTTAGGGTTGAAATATCAAATCTGTTAATGATAGAGAGAGTGATGGAGACCAAGGTACAACCCAAGAACTTGAAGTGCACATGACCCACCCCTAGTATTGGAGACGAGAAAAAGATTAATAGAATTAGGAATTTTTATAAATTAGGGTTTCTTAATTATTTTTGGCAATGTTTAGTTTTAGGGCTATTTTCATATTTTCCTTTGTTTAGGGTTTGGTTATGATCTTGTCTAGATAAAGGCCACTATGTACTCAAAATATTTAGTTTTGATTATTGGAATATTATTGTGGTTTGAGAATTCTGTCTTCTTTTTGCTCTTCTATGCTCCAAGCTATCTTTTCAATCTGTCATCGTCACTCCCTTTCATCTGTCTTCTCATCTCCTCTTCTAGTCACATCTCATCTTCTCATTCTCATCTCCGTCTTTCATTCTGGTTCTGAATCAGTATTAGAACAGACCTATCAGTCCTACATCAGAGGGAAAGAGAGAGAGTGACGTTCATTGTGGGATCGCCACTTCACCTATGGAGTTTGTAGGTCTTCAAGGTGATCGAAAACTTTTGTGGTGGACTCAAATGACAGTATACTACACACTACACTGGTGGCTCCGAAAAGATCTGAGTTTTATTTCAAGACGGCAGTTGCATTCTGGAGCTGATTTTGATTATTGATGATTGCTTTTCTTAGGAGATGTGATTGGCGTATGAGATATAGCTGGTGATGCTCGCGTTATTAGATGCTTGTGCCCAATCATATGGGGCAGTGAGAGTTAATGTGCGGCGTGTAGATACTTTGATGAGAATTGGCGTAAAGCATAGTAATGAGAGGCAATCATCTGGTGGCAAGGAGGGTTTAGAAACCCTAGTTGCAGAGAAATGAGGAAGGTAGCGGTGGTGCTTGATATGTCAATAATAAAAGACCACTCACAATAGAACGAATCTCAATAGGATAGGGCTATATTGAGGGTGTCGAACCTCAAGGACCGTGTTGGTAAATAGTTAAGTATAAGAATATTTCTGATTTGATTTGAGAAAGAATTTTATTTTTGATTTTCTTACTTCTAATTGCAAGGAAACAATAAAAACTGAAAATAAACAAAGTTAAAGATGAGAGTTATCAGAGAGAGCCTAGGGAATTGGCTTCACCACTAACCTTGTAACAATGATCAACCATATTCAATTCGGGGAAATTAACCGTATGTATAATTATGGATCGTGTGGCTACAAGCTCACAACAATAATGTTAAGAAGATATATATATATATATATATATATATAATCAAGTATTAAACATAACTCATCTTCGGTTGGCACAAATTGTCTACCTAACTACTCTAAACTAGGTTGTAGCACAACTTGTCTTCCCTAAGCATGGATTATCAAAACACTTGATTAAATATTCAATGAGCACCATTGCATGACCATTACTTTCATAATCACATAAAATAAAAGCAATTTGATTTTAATTAAAACAAAATCAATTCTAAGACAAGATCATGATTCTATTAAAACTGATTATAAACATTAAATTCCAATTGCATAGTACAACTAAGTCAATTCTCCAAACCATGCGAGATCAAATAAAATTAAACCATGTTACTTGGATAGGGTTACATCAGTTCCCTAAGGAATGATTTAGCTACTCATGGAGAAGGTAGAAAGCTTCAATGACGTGATGAACGCCATCTCCATGGACTGCAATTCTGATCGGAATCACCTTCTTCAAGCTTCAACAATGGAGAGAAGCCCTTAGCCGCCAAATCTCTCTTTTTCTGTAAACTTGTGTAATCTCCCTTAATTCAGAGTAATTCCACCCCTAAATCAACTTGAACTGGTCCTTAGATACGTCTACCAACTTTGGTTAAGATCCGGCCCATGTATGGCAAGTAGGGAGAAAAATTGAGAATTCCCGCAACTGTTAGGATTTGCTTCTGATGCACATGCTATCAATCTTAGTCCCCCTGTGATCAATCTTAGGTAGGAAAAGATCGATCTTTTTCCTGGCAGAACCCTGATAACTTTTGCACAGCTACTAGAACGATTATGATCGATCTTTTTGAAGATTTCATTGTGCGCAATGAATTGCGATCGATCCTAATAAAGGCAGAATGTGTAGAAACTTTTGCAAGGCTTGTTAAGTGTTTGCGATCAATCTTAATGTTGTGTTCTTCAAAGCTTGATTTCTATGACAATTAGGATCGATCCTAATAAATTAGGATCGATTTTAAATTCATGCAAATTTGATTCTCATCCTTCTTAAGCTCTGAATCAACCCCGAACGCACCAGTGTCTTCCTTGAACCCTAGAAACACCTTCATAAGCCCGAAATTAGCTGAATTAACCCCGTTGAAGGTGAAGACCTGAAAATAACCAAAACCAAGGAAGTGGCATAAATATAACTATAAAAACATCACCAAGGCACTAACATATGCAACTTTAAGGGCTTGAATGTGCAACATTCAGCACTTATCAGTGCAGTCTAATCAGAGCAACAGTCATGTGCTGTAAGAGTAAGGCTTGCATTCAAACGCAACCCACATGGTTGCTTTCGCTTTGTTTCAACAGCTGGTTAAAAATTTTAAACTGAAGTGACAAGGGCTTTTGACAGGCACACAAGGAACAAAGAATGGAATGGGCTGCTCTACGGCAATTCTAAATCGTCTATTGGTCCAAGATTGAAGAGTTTTTGTTAGACATTAAAATGATAAGTGACCGGTAAAAGAGGTCAACATGACACTTTTGAGCCATTGTGTTGTTGCTTTAACAGGCTATGCTCAGGTCAAGATGTAATCTAGGTGAGGTTTTCATGCTAATTGAATAAAGGAGACATTGGGACTTATGTCTGAATTGAATGAGGAGACATTGGGGCCTATGTCTGAAGCTTCAGCTCAATTGCCATTTCAATAAATCCAAAAAGGGTGTGATAGACGAATGACTTACCGAATAAAAGAAAAAGAAAAGGAAGGTTTGAGAGACAAATCGATAGGCAAAAATGAAGTGTCCTTGTGGAGATTTTGGCAAAGAGTTTACTGACAATTTAGGCGTGGCAATTTGTCCCGATCTGGGGGTTCCGCACCTAATAGAACGGGGATGGTGCGCTTTCAAACGGGTAGGAGCGGGTATGGGATAAGTAGATTTAGCCCAAATTGGGTTCGAGGCAGGTACGGATATATAAGAGCCCCGACCCGCCCAGATTATATAAGATAATTACATATATATCCTTACTTCAGTCCAATATTACTTAAACACTCTTATATATTTCTCTACATCTCTGATCTTAGTCTCTTAGGGTTTCTATGAGCTGCTCCATTCCCCCAAACTTCCGTTCACACAGTCAGCCAGTCCAACCACACTATCTTCCTATCATCTCCTTCCACGAAGTTACTCTCTCTCTCTCTCCCCCCATGTGTGCATGTGTGTGTAAAGCCATCTCTTTGTCTGGTGTTGGAAATGTGTACTACTGCAGGTTTTCGATTTGTATTGCAAGTGAGTTCTAGAAAAGAGTGTTCCAGGAAATTTGTTGCCTTGGTTTAGAAGATCTGCAAATTCCAAAATTGGGTTTGTTGCCAAACAAAAATATTTTTCCATTTTGTAATTCCAAAATCTTCTAAACCCAAGCAATAGAGGGATGACAACTCGTTTCTGTTGCTTGATTTCAACGATTCTGGAATTCTTTTCTAGTTTTACCTTTTCAGCTTCTTCATATCACCATAATTGGGACATCTCTGCCCCGTTTTTGCCTCAACAGATTGCTTGATTTCAAAGATTCTGGAATTCTTTTCTAGTTTTACCTTTTCAGCTTCTTCATATCACCATATTTGGTACATCTCTGCCCCGTTTTTGCCTCAACAGAACCCGTCCACCCCTGTTTTTTAATCGGCCGGGGATGGGACTATGATTAGAAACCCGTCCTGGGTATGAAAAAAATTATTTCTAGGTGGGGCGGGCCGGCAGGGTAGGGTTTATGAGAAACCATCTCATTCCCGCTCCGTTGCCATCCCTAACTGACATTGAGAAGATTGCAGATTGGTCGGGACTTGGAGAAGGCTTGGGTGGGGCAGGACCTTGTTTAAGTTGTCTTCTTAGACAAAAGGGGGTGGTGTTAATGAGGGGTATAAAGGGGTACTCATTACGGGAATCTGGCTAAAGCTGCCATCCAGACCAGAAACAACTTGTTTCTGGCTTTCTGCACATCAAAGATAGAGAGCGAGAGAGAGATGAAAGCTGGGTGGTTGTATGCACAGACAAAAACACCAGTGTAGTAATTAAAGGGGATCCAGTTCTCTTCGATCTGGGGTAGGGTTTTGTATTTAGTTGCCAAAACTTTTTCGGCAATGGCTTTCTCCTCTTGTAATAGCTTGACAGCGTTGACGGGAAGGGAGACCCAATTTCACAACTATACAATAGATGGGGTGGAAGTGTAATTGGCTGGAACAGTCCGATGGGTGGGGTTCTATGGTAGTGGGCTTGCTGACGTGTAAAAGAGTGAGGATTCTTTGGTGATTGTTTCTGTTAGTGATGAAAGTTGTTCCAAATGGAGAGGCAAATGGAGTTGGGGGTGAAATGGGTGGGTGGGGATTGGCTCGTTTGGTGTGTGACCTAGTGGCTGTTCTAGGTCCGATTGTTTGAATTTTCAAAGATCGCATTTTGGGCAGAGACGGAGAGATAGAGAAGTCCAGCAACGCAACAACTTGGGTTATGAATACTACTGGGGATTTTAGTAGATTTTTTCGAGTCCCGTATTGGTAGTTCAAGTATGAGGCATTGAAGCTGCTTGGAGATCGATGGTATGTGGAGAACTAGAGATCTAAGGACAATTATAGGCCAAAAAGGATTAGAAGGGAATCTCGTTGAAGGTGTAGGGAGCTAAGTTACTTGGACTTGTGTACGTGTTGGGAATCCAAATGTATAAAATTCTAGGGTTAAAGTGTATTGCTGTATTTTGTGGGAGTTGTGCAATGAAAAAGATTAAGACTTCAGTTCTGACTCCATTACATAATGTCTATTACACTTAGCATCCTTGTCAATATGACTATTACCAGTAGTTATGGACTTGATAAAAACTTGGTCCAAAGTGCTTAGTATTTTTCCCATTTTTCCCTTCCACTGTCCTCTTTCCCAGAAGAGGGAGCAAGAAGGAAGAAAAGAGGAAGTGGAAAGAATAAAACTGTGTTTTAAAATTTTATATCAATGAGGGAGAATTTGTATGGCCTTGAAAGGGGAAAAGCAGAGTTGGCTTATTGGATCAATTTAAAGGTACGAGTAGTTCTGGTTTTTTACCAGGCTTCACATAAAAAAGTAGTACATTCCAAGTCTTCAAATTTATATCTATACCAACTTAGAATGCTGACCTTGTTTTTCCCAACATGTTAAGTTTGGTGATCTATAGAACTCCTTTCTCAAATCTCTCCCCTTACCTTTTGTCTTCTAGCATTGAGGATGTTGAACCACAACCTAATCGACTTCTTAAAGAAAGGCCCTAGACTGTAGTATGGTAATATTCTGAAACATAATCTCTTTAATTCCCTCTCATGACAATTCCACCCTTTTACAAAGTTTGGTTCATTTACTTTGCATTCTAAATGTTGTTCATTATATTCGCTGGTGATGCGTACTTCATAGAGATCTCCCCAGTAAAGAAATTTCTGTTACATGAGAAAATTTTCAATTTCACGGCATTTTACTACGTTTATGTGTTTCAAAAGAAATTAAGTTTGAGAGTAGATGATGCATGACCTTATGGTAATTATATTTAGATTGAGCCAATTTGGTCTCTACTTTCTGAGCTTCGCCACTATAGTTCTATATAATATATCTAATTTTGCTGTTAGAAGTCAAGAGTTTGCTAGCTCATTAAAACTTAGAACCTTTGCAGTTTTCCCTTGCATTAGAGTGGTATATTTTACTATACTGAGCTGTACTCCTTTTAATACCTGCTTTACAATTCCAATATTACAATGGCATGTTCTGTTCCCGTAGACTAAATCAGTGTCACTCTCTTTGACAGTGCACCAGAACTCAACGTGCTACGTCCCAGAACCAACTGGACATGTTTTGAAGCTAGAGAACATGCACCACCCAATTGGTACTAGTTTGCCTAATGCATTCACAAATGGCGGATCATCACTGAATTTGTGCATGCAACCTGCTGTTGATATGTCTGCTCATGCAAGAAGGATTGATGTTTCACGAAACATGTTGGCTCAGAGCTCAAATGTAGGAACGATACAAGAAATGAATGGTGGATTGATTAAATCAGAATCTGGCTATGCGGGGAATTCCCCGTTCATGTCTGATGATGATGGCAATGTCCTGGAAACATGTCCTGCAATTGCAAATGCACCTGTGTCATCTTTCGGTAGTGTACAGTCCAATTCACAACACTTAAACGGAACACTCCTGGATGCTGACACTTCATTTGGATTTTTTGGACCAATTCATCCAAACTTTGGTCCCTCAGACTTTACAGAATTTTCCAATAGTTCCGGTTTGTTCTCTGTCTCCCTCTGTGTGTGTGTGTGTTCATATATATTTGCTAAAACATGTTGGGTCAACTACAAATTCTACCAGTTTTCTGAGTCAGCTAAAGCTAGTTTAGCTCAAAATTTGGGTTAGAATGTAAATAAACTGGGAGTCATTTCAACAAATTGTCCTATTGTTCACATTTATATTACTTGAATCAACCAATTGTTTCCTTAACCTGAAAAAAAACATACCCGGTAGAATCAACTAACTTTGAACATTATAACCTTGTTAAATACTAATCTCTCTCTTCTAATTTTTTTTCCTCAGATATGTTGGAGAGTTACTCTAGGTCGGCCTACCTAGCAACAGATACAGACAATTTCATTAATCTCCATGGCAGGGGAGAGCACCAAGGTGAGGTTTTTGGCATTCGCCATTGTTTCTCAAATGAGAGAGGCTAACTGGTATTTGTGTCCTGGCCTGTTAGGAGAAAATAAGAGGTAGGGCACCATACCAGAAGGCTTGATTTACAATGATTTTGGCAGTACTTGATTAAATAATTCCGATGGTACTTTGTCCCATGCATTAGATAACTAGTAATTTGTGTACCATTGCAGTTTCTAAAATATGATAGTAAGCTAAATGATTTTACCTTTTAAGATACATATGGCCTATGAAAATAGCCCACGAATGAGTAATCCTTCATAAGTTGCTCATTTGGTTTGTAGTAATTGTTGTTGTTGTGTGTTGTTGGCATCTAAAGCATGCATTTTTGCAGAATTGCTATTTGTGGTTCTTGCTTTACGAACAGTGTTGGGTAATATACTTAGGGTTGCAAATGAGCCGAGCCGAGCCGAGCTTTAGGCTGTTCGGGCTCGGCTCGTTTGTTTATGGGATCAGCTCGGGCTTGGGCTCGGCTCGTGACGAGCTCAAAAATTTGAGCTCGGGCTCGGGCTCATCTTGATTTTAAAAGCTCGGGCTGGCCTCGTTTAACAAAAAAATTGAAATTTAAATTCAAAATTAATTAGTATTCTCCAGGCCACAGTGAGACAACACACTATCATGCAAAAAAAAAATGATAGTGTAAAACTTAAACCCAAAGAGATGATAAATAAGATATATTGGCAAAATCTGTAACAGAGTTGGAAGAAGATATTTAACAGGAGAGAGAACATCCAAACATATAATATAATTAAAGAGATAATAAATAACATATATTGGCAAAATCTGTATTGGCAAAATCGGTAACAGAGTTGTATATCAAGAAAAAAAAAAATTAATATTTAACAGGAAACAACTTTGTTACCGATTTTGCCAATAAATGTTATTCAAGCATATATATATCTATAATTGTAAGTTTGTAACTAAAGTTATTATTATTACAAGTTACAACAAAATGCTTCAAACAGATAAAAACACAAATAAAAGCCCAGAGAAATGCACAAACTTAGCAATAGAACATCGAAATTGGAAGCTGCTGAGGAAAACTAAAAAATAAACGGCTGAATCCACACCCAAAAAAAATGTCATACGTTTAGCAATGTAACAAACGGTTGAATCCACACCCAAAAAAAAATAAAGAATAATAAAATAAAAAATTAGGGTTTCTTACCAAAGGCAAAGATTCAGCCTCAATTTCCTCTGATGTCTGAGACACCAAGAGATTAGCTTCTTTGAGCTGTTCCAAAATTCCCAGTAACTTGTATTGCGGGTGTCTAGATCAAGACAAGATTGTCAACCTTCAGGCAAGGTAACCGATTAGCCTCAAAGGACTTTCGAAGAAGAGGCCTCACAATTTCATGAGTTAACCCTCACTCTAGAGTCCAGAAGACGGAACTAAAGAAGAGGCCTCACAATAAATCGTCTTCGTTGGAGACTTGAGTCTTTGATGAATAAGGGAAGATGGAGATAAGAGTTAACTCGGTCAAGAGATAAGAATAAATTGAATAATAAGAGGTTCGTCAAGATTTCCCAACAGATAAGATTTCAAAGAGATAAGGTGAGTTTTGAGCAATTGACAGGTGTGCAATAGTTTGTAATTTAATCTATTTTATTTTGGGTACTTATGCTATAAATTATAATAGAACCATGTATATATAATATATATTATATATTATGTATATAAATATAACGAGCCTTACACGAGCTCGTGTTCACGAACCTAAGTGAGCCTAGCCCAATGTTGCTCAAGCTCGGCTCGTTTACTAAACGAGCCAAAAAATTGGGCTCGAGCTTGGCTCGTTTGCTTAACGAACGAGCTCGAGCCGAGTCCTTAATGAGCCGAGCCCGAACTCTTCATGAACAATTTAATTCATTTGCAGCCCTAATATACTATTTATACCATTTGGTCCATACTCATATTATGATCTATCTTCTTTTTTATTATTATTATTGTATCGCATATAATTACTTGGGAATGTATTTTCTTAAATGACTTGGGACCAGGTTCTCCATTCTTCTCCTGTGAAATTAGGGAACCTTTTTTACTTCCAACTGTGGTTTCTTTATGTAACCACGTCGGTTGGGCAAATTGTTTGAAGAACTTTAGTGGTTGTTAGAGATCATTGTTCTTGTCGACACTCGTGTGATTCCTATGATTTTTTTTTTTTTTGTTTTTTGTCCCGGTAAATGAAAAAAATCCTATTTATGTTGTTTTAACAAGTACTGACATTTGTTTGTTTTGTGACTGCTGCAGGTCCAACAGCACCCCATTAGGACAAGTCTTTGTAAATAGCTTCTTTGAAATGCAGAGTAGAATTTTGAACTCCTTCAAGATACTGATTGGTGTGTGCCAAGGTAATAATATAGTCAGAATGGATGACACAAAGTATGCAGTCGGAAACAGTTGACAAGAATAGTTTCATCGACACAGTGGGTAAAAATGGACATCATGATCTTACTCCTATATTAGGGTTTGTCTTAGAAATTTGATAATGATAGTGTGTTATATATGGTGGTGGTTTTGTCAAATAAGTATTGTGGTGCTGTTTAAATTGTGTTTTTGTTAAATAGAGGTTGTAATTATCAAAAGAAATATTTGGAAATGTTCTCTCGTTTGTGTCGTCGATGATATATTGGATTTTACATCTTGGAACTCAAATTTTATATTCAAGTGTTAGCACATGAACCTTGTTTGGTCCTAACAGTCTCCAAAACTATTTTGCGGGCAATTTTTTAGTTGTGAGACTCGGTATGTGCATGGCTTCTTATCTGTTAATATGAAACATAGGGCACGCTTTTGCGAACTTTTTTTATTATTATTATTGACAAGAAACACACACCAACAATTTTTCCTATGAAAGCTCAAACTTTCGACCTTCTTCTTGCGGAGAATTATACATCCTTTAGTCACACTTTCGTAACCTAAGGAACTCACATTTTTTAAATTTAAATTATGAGGGACGTTTATAAAAATGCGAGCCAAATTAAGGAGATTCGGATTTTACCAAGTTCCTTGCACTACTATATCAACAGTGCAACATGCAATATGACATGCTACATCATCACATATGCAACACATTTACGTGAAAGATATTTCACCTATTGTGTCAATGAAAATACGAGCCTAATTAAGGGATCCAGATTTTATCATGTTCCTCACCTGTCCTATGCACTACTAAATTAACATTGCAAAACACGATATGACATGTAATGCAACGCATTTATATCAAAGATATTTCACGTAAGTAACACTAAATTGAAATTTAATACCATTACGTATTTGTTGCATTGTCGATTTAAACGAACAACATGACAGCAATAGAGGATCCTGATCTTAATTAAGGATAGACTTATGCTTGTTAGCTTCTTGGCGATGATAAGTTTTAATTCCATGGCACCAATTTTATGTTACTAGATATAGATTTAAAGAAATTAAGATGAAATACAATTTAAAAAATAATAATAATAATAAGAGAGAAAATTAAGAAGTAATCAATCTTTAAGTATAAAAAGAACTTTCTTAATTTTGTCTTATAACTCATACGAGGCATTTGGTTTGCACCGACCAAAAACTACTCAATGCCTAAAAAAATATAGTATATAACATATTCCTCGTACCTCGAGAACTTAGTATTCAAATGCCTTTTGTGGAATTTGCTTCAAGTGTAAGGATCATATTAGAGGCTTGAAGCTTGTGTTCCAAAAACACCCCACAGTCACACTGACACACACATATATATTATTCGTATAAAAACAGTGCAAATTCAGAAGAGGAACGTTTCGGAAATCTCGAGCATAATAAAAAGATATTGGAGGGCTGAAAGTAAAAAGAAAAAGAGGCGATTTTATCATTTGTCATGACCTCACGTGCATGCAAACCAACATGCAAGACCAGCTAGAAATTTATTTAGAAGACATATTGAACATAATAAAATTAAAAAATAAAAAAAAAATTCTACTTCTACGACAAATATGATTAGGGAATTTTTTCACTAATATGACAAATATCACAACCTAATTATCAATTACAATTGTCTTAGACATGTATGATTGTGGAATATAGTTTCAAAATATTTAGAGGGGTTGAATAAATGTAACTTTATGCTCCGTTCGGTAAGAAGGAAAAAAATTGAATGGAAGGGAGAGAAGAAAGGATGAGTGAGACATTCCTAAAGAAGAGATTAAACAATTCCCTCTTCTTGTTCGATTGGATGGAAGAGAATGGAAAAAAGTGACAATTAAATTTGATCGTTAGAATAAATGAAAATATATATTTTTAGTTTGTTTTTACCATTAAACCCACCTCTTATTTTATTTATGAGATTTTTTAAATATTTATAAAGGGTGATATAGTAATTTAAAACTTCTATAATAGGCTACTTGTTTCTCTCCTATCTTCCGCCCAAATGTGTGGGCTGATAAAAATTTATGAAGGAGGAAAAATGACTCATCCTTCCTATTATCCTTTCTCTCTTTATATCACCTCTACCGAACGAAGGAAATTTGTTCATTCCTTTCTATTTTCCTTCCACCCCTCTTATTTCCTTCCAACCGAACATTCAAATTTTTGTTTAAATTAAGTTTATCGAATTAGATAAAAATTAATTAATCCATAAAGCAAAAATAAATGCAAGTAAAATAAAGTAGGGTTAGAGAGACATTAGGATTTTAGCGAGTAAACCTGGTTAGAGAAAATCATCCAACTATTGAAAAAAATCTCAGAGATTCATGTCCCGCAGTCTCAAACGAAACGATTTATTATAAATGAACCAAAGTTCAATGGACGTACTTCGACTCAGACTCACACCCCTTCACTTTACGAAGAACCGATTGTTGAACACCTCTAACTTTGTGACTTCCCAGTCCAAAGACATACTTTGACTCAGGCTCACACCCCTTCACTTTATGAAGAACCAATTGTTGAACACCTCTAGCTTTATGTGATACCCCCAGATCTCCGAATACGGATTGGCTAGGCCTACACCCGAATACCTGAGGATATCAAAAATAATATGGCAATAATCGAACACAAAATAATATAGACATGATAAATAGGAATAAAATTGCTGAAGGAAACTAAAACGATAATATTTTAACAAACATTGTCAGAATAATTTATAAATACGAAATATTTTGGTACATCCAAAACTTCCGATTTAAATACAACTCGGTAGTCCATCCTAGTGGACCCCTAATAAAATTCCAAACTGAAAAGGAACACAATTGATACAAAATCCAAAACTAAACATGGAAAGCAATCCTACGTAGTGGAAGGAATGAGTGACTGTATCTGCTCAGCACGATCAAGCTCTAAACTTGGATCTGACGAACACCTGAAAAATAAGAGTGGGTCAGGTCCATATGCAAGTTCTATTCTGATTACAATCCAAAGAGAGACCCGATACGCAGATACATCATAGATATCTCAACAATAGCTATCAAGTCCATCAGCTACGCATCCACTGCATATACGCACCCTAACCATCGATTATGAGACTTAAGCTCATATCGCAGTACCATAAAAATATATTTAAAGTCCTATCCTATCCATCCATAAGAAATCCAGTAAGCCGTCCAGCTTGTTCAGCTGCACTGACTTACATATCTATAGCAAGTAATCTAGTTAGTCATTCAACTTTGTTTTAGCTGATCTAACTTAAATATAAGTAGGATTTATTTTATAATCCATCCCCTTATTCCGTATAGGTAGGATTTAGTATTTTGAAACTAATCCGTCTCTAGTATGCCACCATCCCATACCGGTGCATACAATACATCCATCCAGTAGTTGATAAAACAGATAATGAAAGTAAATATCAACTAATACATACATCCAACACTTGATAATTAAATACAAACATCAATTGTTCCATACTAAGCATGATCAAATTTTGTGTAATTTAACAGGCTTATTTGATACTACTCCGCAAAGTCCAATAATTGATAGTACAGATCATACATGTAAACATCAATTAATTCCTAATAAGCATAATATAAATTATATGAATCAGCATGCTTATTTTATCCACAAATCCAATCAATAATTGATGAAGCAGATAAAGCAGTTCAACAATTAAAATCCAGAACAACATCCATTTACTTAACGGAACAGAATTTAATGGTTCCTTAATTAAAATCTAACATAAGCACAAATAGAGTCTAACAAATATATGACCCTATTATACATCCAGTGTAGATATAGAAATCATATATCAGTCATTTAAATTGCTAACATCAAATCAAGCAATTAAATTCTCTCTAACCATTAACAGCATGCAACTTGTTTTAAACTTCCATACTGTTCAAAATCTTTAGCATATATACTTAAGTTATGCATCCTAGGGTTTTAATACACCATGAATTAATATTTAGTACCCTCTTAACATTCAAAACCAGTTTGGGAACCTCAACTAGTCTAAAACAGTGCCCAAACAACTTCAGAACGCACTAAAACGGAAAAAAAAAAAAAAAAATCAGCAAAGAGCCGGCTCGATTAAAATGTAAAGCCAGCTCCAATAAAATGTAGAGCCGCCTCTACCTAGTGTGGAGCCGGCTACACTTCAATGGAGCCGCCTCCATTGAAGGGGAAGCCGTCTCCACTCCTCTCAGTGTTCGTCTTCTTCGTATCCGGCTACTTTCTGACTTTCCGACTGCCCTTGTTAAGGTTCCTAACCCTCTGTTCTAAGTTCCAAGCAGTCTCAATTAATTATAAGTAGTATTTATGCATCACTTACATGAATCAAAACAAGTTTGCGTACAAAGAAAATCAAGAATCAAACTAAAAACATATATTTACTGTAACCACCGTTTTAATTTGATTCAATGAAATTCAATTCAAGCATGATTAAGAGATCAATTTTAATGTCCGTTAAACTCCTGGAGACTATCTAGGCATGCACAGAGCATAAGTCCAGGGGAAAGAGTTAGAATAAAACTTGCCTCTTAAGGTTTCGGTTTGAAACCTTTAACCGTTTTCTTCCTAGGTTTTCCGACGACCTTAGCTACCGTTGAACCTCCTCTGCCGCTCTTGGTTTAACCCACGAGCCAGCCCCTGTTCCTCCTCCTCCTTGATTCAACCCTGAACCCTAGCTTTTCTTCCTCTCAGTTTCTCTCTCTGTTCTCACGTCCCTCTCTCTGCTGCTATAAGGGTTTTCAAACCCTAGTGCAAACCAACCTATGTATATATATAGGTTACACAGAATCCAACCCTAATCCTAATTGAAAACTAAGTCAGATGAAAAGATAAATCAAAACACAATTACATATAATTAAAATATCGTGATAAATAAATATATACATAAGGCATAGTCTATGTACGTGATATATCATATCTATATAAAACAATTTATAACTATATAGAAATATTAATCATCCTAATAATATTATTAGTTCTATTAAAAATAATAATATCACTCCATCCTTATATACATATAGACTCTAATATATCTAATTATATACCACCATCCATATATGGGTAAATATCTGTACCCATCAAACCTCCTATCCAAGTAGTCCATGCCACCCTTTGGGTTGGTCCATTACTACTATCCAAATCCAACTCCTTTTTAAAATAAAATTAAAATAAAACATAAAGCAACATATCATTTAATCCTAACAATTTAATTACAATTAAACCACACAATTTTACAAACAATTACCACACAATTAAATCACATATTTAAAATAAACAATTAAACAAATA